AGAGAGATATGACAATCGGTATTGGGAGAAAAGGTAAAGGGGCATCGACATGAGGATTGTGAAGATAATTCTGGAAATACCCACCCGTCAGGCGTGCATTAAATGGACTTGGCCGACATTGCCGAGGTCGGATTCTATTGAGGGAGTTATCATTATTAAAATACGGGAAAATATATTTAAAGCTTGTACATTACTTCATCATCCTTAGAAAGGCTGCGCATAATGCTGATATATCATATAAGAAATAAACGACTCCTGGCCGTTTGTCGTACAATAAAACACTGCAGGGAGAATAAACCATGATCATAAAACACTGCAGAGAGAACAAACCAACCGGGGCTGCGCCCTTCATGGTTTATTCTCCCTGCAGTGTTTTATGATCATGGTTTATTCTCCCTGCAATGTTTTATTGTACGATAAACAACTCCCACTCGTCGATTATTTCTTTATTAAACCGTGGCTCGATCATTTGTCCGTGACCGAGGTCTAACTAGCTGAATTGTTAGTTAAACACCACTTGGCAATGACGGAACTTCTTTTTTCTCTGTCATTTATCTTAATTATAGAATAATTCCATGAAAAACGTTTGTTGCCAGCGGGATTCGAACCCGCGAAGGTTAACGAATGTAGACTTCTCCCACGGCAACTTAGGACAAATTGTATGAAATTAACAACTGAATATTTACTTACATCAGGACTAATTGTTTATCCGTTTATGAATTGCGAAATATGTTTTATGTAATTTTTATACAGTATGTTACTCTATGCATTCTAGTATTTGTACAGTACTTGTGATTTGGTAGCTTTTCGTTGAACAGAAAGAAAAGAAATTACTATCAAATTAATCAGGGCTGTGTTTTCCATAATAGGCCCATCAACATGGGCAAATAAAATCAAGGTGATTGATAAATATGCTTGAGTTGGTCCAAAATGGATGATATACTTGCCCCGGGACATGCATTTCATAACCCACATCGGCAAAGTGCCCCGTGCACGTGCGAAAGACTTGGGGAACACATTTCACGTGCTTCAATGCAGGCCGACTCACACAGTGTTCTCACAGTTGAGCATAGAGTTGCTGAATATCTTTCAAAATACCTTTAACAAAACAATTAACCATTTCAACGATTAGACACTGGACCCTCCTGGTCTGAAATTTAACCATACACAAACACGCACCATCTCCATCTCAACAGCTACCGGATTCAAGGAGCCCACAAGTAATTGTCATTGATTTCTTAAAGCTTAGCTGCCCTTGTTCATTTGAAATATCGCTCTTACGCATTTGGGTCATCAAAATTTGTACCTCTTTTGGTTCTGTTGAATAAACAAAAGTAAAACTTGAAAATTCAAACTTTTAGTGATTTAACAAGAAACATCTAAACTTAACAAACAGTTGGGTAAATTATGCCAACACAAAGAAACATAATTTTGAAATATTTCAAATACACTGGAGAATGGGTGGAAATCTATTATCCTTGGTGTAACCATTATAGTTACCGATCTTTTGCAGAAGTACGAAATATATACAATATTTCTTTCGGTGTATTATTGTAAAACTAATATTTTTCCTCTGCCAAGAAAAGAAAAAGAATCTCATTTTAACATCACGACGTTTGAAAACCTGGATTATCACTATTTGTGAGAAATAACAATAAAAACAGATAATTTACTCTTCTCTGTGTCCCACACATTACCAAAATGATCGATATAATTTCAATATTCTGTTTGTAAATAAACATGTTCTTTGTACTTGTTGAAAATAATGCTATGAAGTGTGTGTTTACCTGAATCATTTTCAGAATTTCCTCTGGTTACACCAAAGACAAAACGGTTACACCATTACTCATGATGATTTTTCGTTCATGTCACAATAATCTATCAGTAGGAAATGATGCACTATAGTTGGTGTTGCATATTTGCAATGGCGTCAGACATTTTTGTTTCATAACGTTTTCTTTGAAGTTAATACTGTTGACTTGTGGTCACCAAGGTGTACGAATGTGTTTGGGTTACGAGTTTACATACACCCCCTGCCCGCTGGGCAAATGGTCCGACTCTCTCGGTGAAAGTTGTTTCAGGTAGATATATCACTTAGATATATACCATGGCTATTTTGTAATTTCTTTTAATTGATTGAAACCCAGGGCTGTACTGAGAGATAAGTCCATGGATGTGTAGTAATATACTACTCAAAAGAAGTTAAGGATCACATGATTCTTTCATATTACTATAGTTAATCTCTCATGCCATGACAGATTAACTTTTCCATTATGAAAGAATCGGGTGATCCTTAACTTCTTTTGAGTAGTATATAATATCCTCCTAATAGGCAAGTCTGGATATATGGACAGTACTCCAGTCTCAACAGTCCAGGACAACATGTTCTTATTATTAACATAATCTGGATTTATTTATCATACTTATTATTTAAACTAATAATTATTGCCTTAGAGACTTGTGCAAGTCTACCTGCTCGGGGTGTGAGGGGGCGCCCTACACAGACATCTGTCACACGACAAGGTATTGTTTGTTTGTTTGTTTGTTGTTTAACGCCGCACTCAGCAATATTCCAGCTGTATGACGGCGGTCTGTAAATAATCGAGTCTTGACCAGACAATGCAGTGATTGATATATCATGAGCATCGATCCACACAATTGGGATCGATGACATGCATCTTACGACAAGCATAGTCGCCTTTTACGGCAAGCATGGGTTGCCGAAGACCTATTCTACCCCGGATCTTCACGGGTCGACAAGGTAATGAGGACATGTTAATTCGGATGAAAGAATTTTGTTCTTTTCAATAACGCGCCTTGCTTTACCGACTTACCTATCAATGGAATGTCCTCGGTGTTACACCTATCATCATTAAGAGGGTGTATAAGCTTGCCAAACATCGGAACTAGAGACATCCCTTCGTGGCGAGATGAATATGGTTTGTGAAATGTTTACCCAAGTTGACCCAACATTGACCCTGCGTTATTTGCAAGCAAACCGCTACCCCGAAACGAAGAGGTCACTGTAAGGTTAATGTTGCCATTATCTTGCCATAACATAGGCAAAATTCCTGCTGCACTAATGCCCACGACGGGATCAGGATCCGCTGATTAGGGGTTCGAATCCCAGAATCCCTGTGCCTATTTTCCTTGGTGTGTCAGGACCATACACTTATGCGGATATTCATCACTTTGAGCTTTCTGGTATACACCCCTTGAAATGGGGTGGTGTGGGATGGCCCAGTCGTCTAAGGCGACGCGATTCGTTGTGCAGAGTTGCGTCCCTTGGGCACGCCAGAAACCCATGATTGTGGGTTCGAATCTCGGTTCGCCCCAATTATATTTCTAGGTTTGTCAGCACCATACCCGTGCTCTTGGGTTTCACCGAAGTGGTAAATGTCTGAGACCTGCATCACTTGGGGCTTTCCTCCCACATTAAGCTGACACGCCGCGATATGACTGGAATACTGTTAAAAGCGGCGTTAAACCCAACTCACTCACTCAAACCTCGACGGGATGCGAACCTGCATCTTCTTGGTTTGTAAAGTGTTATCCCAAATATAACATTTGTAACATGGATCTATAAGCACAGTAGGTAAAATACTACTTCCCAGCTGCGCCATCCCTAACCTTTTTTCCTATATTATCTAACAACTAAAAAAGTGAGTCATATAAAAATTCGAAGGCCATACGAGTATTCATATTCGATCTGTCATAACAAAAACAAATGTTCAAGGTAAAATGTGATTCAATATGAATGTATTTTATAATGCAGTATTGATAATGCAGTTTACTCGGATAATCGGTATCCGTATACATTGAGTACACTACTCAATCCGTGACAGCGACAATCAGCTATGTCATTCCATTTAATATGAGTGAGTGAGGGAGTGAGTTGAGTTTAACGCCGCTTTTCAGTTCTTCAGCAAACCATGCTTGCCTTAAAAGGTGACTATGCTTGTCGTAAGAGGCGACTAACGGGATCGGGTGGTCAGGCTCGATGACTTGGTTAATGCATGTCATCGTACGGCAATTGCGCAGATCGAAGTTCATGATGCAAATCACTAGACTGTCTGGCCCAGACTCGATTACTTACAGACCGCCGTCATATAGCTGGAATATTGCTGAGTGCGGCGTAAAACATCAAACAAACGTATGACCAGCATGGAGGCACGGGTCCGATGTCCTTCCGATGTGACGATGCTGCACAATCAGAGATATGGTATTGTGATTCATCATTCAAAACATCATTCGCAGACCACTGTGACGTCATTGTTACCATGACGTCACAATCAAATGACATCACTAATGGCTCTGCTACTGAAGCATTCGTCACCACTCGCCCCTTTCCGTAACCTGCAAGAAGACTCGTCCCCCCTATCGATGAATGTTATGTGCGAAAATACGACAAACCAATCAGATTCCAAGTTCTTCGTCAAAGAAACCCTCAGAAATAATTTCTGTTTTTACATATGTCTTTCATCTAAAAATATACCCAAGACACAGTTAAATGTGTTCAATCATACTGTATAATTCCGCATGTCCTGACGTGCTTTAAATTGCATCTGAAATATAAGTAATATATAGGGAAATATATGTGAACCATTGCGCAACGAGTTGACAATTGTTTTAGGTATGCCCGTTTGCGCTAAGGCGGAACCCGGTTGCAAAAATGGCCACGAGAGGGGCACGAGTCGCTATTCGGCTTGTCCCGGAATAACACGAGTTGCTACTGAAGCTGTTAGCAGTACTTTTTACACTTAACACACTGCTTACTGCTGTCTACAAACTGAAAAAGTTGGAAGAATGATGTTGGATGATAAATAAAATCTCACTCTAGTGTCAAATATACCAACGCTCGTTGATAAAAGTGGAAAAAATCATCGGCAAGGAGTTTTCCCACTTTTATCAACTCGTGTTGACATATTTGATATCAAAAGACACTCGGGTGAGATTCTCTATTTGAAACCTCTGATTAATCAATATCGATTACCACTTACCTACTGATCTTGCCCATGCTTTTTTAACTTCTTCCTCGTTGAAAGTTGAAAATATGTGGTGGCTCTCCATTATGTGATTATCTGAAAGATAAAACAGGATGAACACCATGTGCAAACGCTAACATCGTAGACTTCTTTTTGATTTACCTTTAAATATGCATGTAATACACACGAGGCTATTCTATCTTCCCCACATTCTTATGACCTACAAGAGAGTAAGCCCACGGATGTAATCATTGCTTGTGTTGCAACCACTTGTTTTCGGGGGCACGGATGGTTAAGTCGCTGTGCAGAATTGCCTCCCTTGAACACGCTCGAAACCTAGATCGTGGGTTCGAATCCCGGTTCGCCTCGATGGTGTTCATGGTTTGTGAGCACTATACTCGTCCTTGCGGGTGTCACCAATGTGGTAAAGGTCGGACTTCGGACTTCGGACTTCGGACTTTCCTCCCACATTAGTGAGTGTGTGAGTTGGGTTTAACGCCGCTTTTAAACAGTATTCCAGTTATATCGCGACGTGTCAGCTTTATGTGGGAGGAAAGCCCGAAGTGATGCAGGTCTCAGACGTTTACCGCTTCGGCGAAACAAACGAGCACGGGTATGGTGCTGACAAACCTAGAAACATAATCGGGGCGAACCGGGATTCGAACCCACAATCATAGGTTTCTGGCGTGCCCAAGGGACGCAACTTTGAACAGCGAATCGGGGCGCCTTAGACGACTGGGCCACCCGTGCCCCTCTCCCACTTTAAGCTGACATGCCGTAATATAACTGGAATACTGCTAAAAACGGCTTTAAACTCGCTCACTTATTTACAATGTATCTGACCAGCCTAATGACATGAGACAAACGCACGGAAAGGCAAGTCAATTGTTCACCTGAAAAAACACGGGAACATACGGTCAAATTAGGGAATTGCATCGGACAACATTTTTTGTCACTGCGTCAAATTTGGAAATGTCCTCCACATGTGAGCACACAATGCCATATGGAAAGTAGTCATACATGTCTACCATGAACGTTTCGAAAGCTCTACTGAGGAATATTGCTTGACATAAAGGGAAAGTTGACTATTGAACGTCATCATTCTTGTCATAAGTCTTGTGGAGAGTGTTTTGTCACTCTGAATCTTAATGCATAGATCTAAATATGAAACAGATGAGCGGTCTCGCTGGTCTCCTTTATTTCTAGTTCAGGTGGGTAAATCAGTTGAAGGGAAATGGGAAGATTAATGGTTATTGAACGACATCAGATCAGCGATCTACCTGAAGCTTAAGTTAAACTTCTTGGCCAAATAACCTTGTTTTGACCAAACCGATCAGAAATTCTGATTTATATGCATAAAGAATCAGATCAGCTAGAAGGGGAGCTCAGTTGGTGACGTGGGGATACCTACGTCTTGCCTAAATGTCTTACCCCCAAATATTACATAGATGTTATCAGTAAGAAAGTCCAGCATTTCCTAAATGGATTTCTCAGCAAACTTCAATGGCATTTGCTTTCATTTTTGACAAATTGACCTTAACCTCTGGAGATAGAGGTGTAACTATATCTCCGGTCACCAGTTTAGTGACGTGTGTCCCTATGGGTCAAGGGATGAAGTTTTCCCTTTGATTCGTGGTGTGCGATAGTGGTGTACAAAGTTGAAAAATCAAATGTTCTGACAGAATGGAACCCTGTTCTTTTCTGAGACTGTAAAAAGTCAAGTAAATCCTTTGAGTATTTGAGAATAGTAATAATGGTATTATATCCACTTATCTTACAAGTACTTTCTGTGAATATAAAGAAGGTCTCTCCTTGAATGTATTAAGGACTATGGTTAGTCTTTGAGACTGGGTACATTTGCTGGACCCAGCAAAATATCTCTCTTTGTACTGTTTCTTATTTAGTTTTGGAATCCAGTACAAAAGGCGAATAGACATGAATGAGTGAGTGAGTTGGGTTTAACGCCGCTTTTAACAGTATTCAAGTCATATCGCGGCGTGTCAGCTTAATGTGGGAGGAAAGCCCGAAGTGATGCAAGTTTCAGACGTTTACCACTTCGGTGAAACCCACGAGCACGGGTATGGTGCTGACAAACCTAGAAACATAATCGGGGCGAACCGAGATTCGATCCCACAATCATAGGTTTCTGGCGTACCCAAGGGACGCAACCCTGCACAGCGAATCGCGGCGCCTTAGACGACTTTGCCCCCCGTGCCCCCCGAATAGATATGTCTTCAGGGTCAAGTCAAACGTTGATAGTGCTGATGCATGGTTTGGGCAGATGTTAACCTCGGTTAACATACTGGCCTTAGCTGTGATATGTCACTTATACCAGGTTCATTCATCAAACAATTAATGTAGTGATGTTTACATATAATGCTCATGTTATTTGAGGCCTTGCCAGTTGGATCAACAACAAACTTTTCATGTAGGGCTACCAGACTTGGGATTGCAGCTGGCTGCGACAGAATGGGTTTGTTTCATTTCTGTTTCCTCCTTTATCAGTTTGTGCATTCTACCAATGACAACATCACACACGGGCTTAACCCACTCTGAAAGACACTCAACAGGTTCTTCTTCTCTTTTGGTCCATATATTGGTATATGCTTCGACTGCATCTATAATGATTTTAAAGTTGTGATCCCAATTTGGAAGAGTCTGCTCACTGTATTTTGGTCCATATTTGAATAACTGACAGAGGTTGTTAAAATAGAGAAGTCCCCTGTGATTATATGACCTACAGGTTGGTAGCAGTATACTGAGTCTTGTCAGCCACAAGTAGTGGAATTAACATCATGAGCTGTCAAGTCTACTTTCAGCAACACTTTCCTATGATTGAACAGCCTGGACGAAATAAGAAAATGACGTTGGTGGTTCCTGAAATTTGAAATATTGTGGCACATTTTGGGAAACTAATTTTTGACTGTTACCGAAATTTATGGCATCAAATCCCTTGTTTGCCAATTTCAAATTCAAGAACATGCGTTCTAGATCTTTGTCTGATTTAGTGGAGTCCGTTTCTGGTTTCGCCAAACGTTTCAAAACGACATTAGGAAATATATTCTCGAGTCGATATTGTAGGCTCTTGCTGTTTGTAGACCAACATATCAGCAAAAGTTTCTCGAGTCGTTAAATTTCTTTTTAATGACACATGAAATCGTCTTGTTCTTACTATGTGCAGGCCCAATGGTTCCTGACGGAGAGGCAACAAATCTTCCAAATCAATGGTATAATTTGGCCTTTGTCCTTTCTGATGCCCATGGCGGCGTCGACGTCTCTGGGATGCCGGAAACAGACTCAGTGTCTTTCTAACCAACGAATTGCCGACGTCTTATATTTTGTCATTTCATCCATATGGCATTGCTGTACACAACAGTCGAGTCCAATGATTTTCTCTGGACAGTCTATAAGGTCGACTGCATTTAGGGCTATTAGATGGGTGGTGATTTTATTAATATCCCAATTTTTGCTGGCTGAATTGTGTCGATAATTTCTGCTGTATCTCTCCAACATATATCGATCCACAAAGGGTGCATTCAATGCTATATATGATTTTTTTAGTTTGACATGATCGGTCTTCAAAAGGTTTTGTGCAGTGTGTTTCAGCTGTTAACTTAGATTAAATTCAGGATCAGTTATCAAAATAGGGCAATTTGTGTGCCGATTGAAGAAATGTTGTATGGAGATGGGTTAAAAATGCCCCCAACTTTAATGATGTTTGTTTATGAATCTTCGTTGCAAATAGAAGTTGCCTTCATGACACTTAAGACGCGAATAAAGCATCCTGACATGCCTTTATTTTATTATCCCGTTGAAGTCGTAGCCGTAAAGTGAAAGAAAGCCTGAATTCACATTACCATCTCATCCTACCAAGCGTCCATTCGATGATGTGAAATTGGGTTTAACGTCGCGTCCAAGATTATTGCACTTATATAGCGACGTGCATGCACGTGTGTGTGTGTGTGGCTGCTTGTACTAGTCCGGACTGATGCCGATTTATAGTGCTAGCCCACTGAGATACCATGCCGCAGTTTAACATGAATACCCCACTCAGACACAATATACTCTCCGAGCCGACCAGTCCTTGTTTTAGCCCCTTAATGCCGAGCGCCAGACAGGGTAACAACAAGTACCATCTTTTAACGTCTTTTGGTATGACGCGGCCGGGGATCGAACCCCGGACCTTTCGCTCTCCGGGCGGACGCTCTACCACAAGACCACGGAAGCGGCAGCGTCCATTCGATGATGTGAGATCCTCAAGCACACAAACTAGAACCATCAGGCGCTGTGTACCACATCCCGTGCTTACTTACTTACTTACTTTGGAGATTTAACGTGCGCTTTCCGACTGATGCGTATTTCGCACACGGGCCCGGCCAGGCCATTTAATGTGTTTCTGAAAGGGGCGAAAGTGGTCTGTGCAACCCAAGAGGGGGGTTTAGGGGTTGCTTATATAGAATTTGGGATTTTTTTAGATTTGGAATAGATGCCGATGGGGTTGGGGAGGAGAACTAAGGGAGCTGGGTATGGTGGATGTTTGTCTGTTTATGTGATTTTGATTTGGTAGATTATTGTGTTTCCAGATGCGTTTTATTAGTTCCGTTTTTATTAAGATTACGCCTAAGGCCATGAAGTTTTCTAGTTTATTTTGTGGGTTTAGTATTGCTTCTAGAGTGAGAGCCTTGTTTAGATTGAGGGTGGTTTGTAATGCGGTTCGATGTGTTAGGTAGTGTGTGCAGTGGATGAGTGCGTGTTCAGGGGTTTCTGGTTGTTTGCAGTGTGGGCAGTTGCCTGTAGTGTGGGTTTTTTTTTAAATTTAGGTGGTTATTTAGGTTGGTGTGTCCTGTTTGGAGTTTAGTGATTACTCTGTCGATTTTTTTTGATGGATGGAGAATTTTTGGTTTGATTTGGCTATTTGACTTTAGATATATAGGTTATGCCATTTTTTGTGATTTTTTGCTTGTTTACACTTTTAATTTCTGATTTTGAGATGGGTAAGTTTAAGCTTATTTCTGGGATTTTGAGAGATAGTTTAGCTGCTTTATCGGCGTTTTCATTACCGTATATTCCTACGTGGGCGGGTATCCACAAGAAGG